AATTGGAAGGGCACCTGGCTGATTTCAAGTTGGCCTGTGTCGATCGCGTCGAAATGCCAACTTGTACTGTCAGCTCTGTTCATCCTAGCCGGTATGCGCTGCTCGACCTTCCCTCTCCAGGTGCGGTGCGCGTCCTCGAGGGCTTCACCACTTCAGTGATGCCCGTGTCTGTCGGGTGGGGTGGGAGGTGTAGTTCGTGGAGGGGGATGCGAGTCTGGAAGTGGACGTAGGCTCGGATCTGGGATTGTTTGGGTCCTGGGCGGGGACAAGCGGTCCCAGCCTCTGAGCTGGCGGCCCTCTGGAGAGGGGGCCCTCCAGACCTCACGAGGTCCCTGGTGGTCTACACCGATTGCCAGCTCGTGTCTGACGGTGGGGTCTACGGCCTCGTGGTGGAGCCTCTAGGCAGCCTCGTCCGCTGGTGGTCTGGGGTTCCGGCGGCCCTTCCTAAGCGAGGCCTCGACACGATAGGGTTACGTAAAGTGCATTAGCATTTGGATGTATACTCCCAGATGCGCTGCTGGCAAGACTCAGGATGCTGAAAGACACGCAGACACAAGCGATCGTCGATTCTCATGAGAATCTTGAAAATCTGCGAAGTGGGGGGGGAGACGAACACATAGGAAATACAGAACATATGGGGAATCCCGGGATTGTGTTTACTTGTTTGTGTGTCCCTGGGCCCATTTCAAGACCCGTCTTTCACAAGAGAAAACTTTGGCGTTTGACCAAAGCCCTTAATTTTGCCGTTAATTTCTCCGTGTGGTCAGTCCCGATCCCGCCCTCTCCGTGTGCCTCCGACATACGCACATCTCTTGGCAGGCACGGCTCAGAGGTGATCTCGTTGTGTTCGAGCTGAGCCGGATCGAAGCTCCTCCGCCTCTTCCTTATCTCACCTTCTTGTGCCTCGGGGTTCCATCCTCCTCATTTCTCCCTCCTCTCCTCTTCTCTTCTCCTCCCCCTCCTCCTCACCGTCTCCCTCCTCCTTCGCCCCCCCTTCTCCTCCTCCGCCTCTTCCTCTTCCCTGCTCTCTGCCTCCTCCCTCCTCTGGCAGAGGAGGAGGAGGAGGTGGAGGAGGAGGAGGAGGAGGAAGAGGAGGACCACGAGGGGGAGGCCCAGCAGGATAATGAGGAGGAGCAGGAGGGAGAGGTTTCGGGAGCAGGAGGGGTAGGTCCGTCCTGCTCCTCCCCCGTGCTCTTCCCCCGGGCCCCGCCTGCAATCGTTCCTCGCTCTGGGGAGGCCTCCCGAGGGGGAACTCTCGTCGCCGCGTGTGGATCTGGCTCGAAGCTGAGGCTGCGGTCGGGCACTCTTGGCGAGGTCTCGGGGCCGACTCTTGAGGGAGGAGGGGGAGGAGGAGGAGGAGGAGGAGGAGGAGGAGGAGGAGGAGGAGGAGGAGGAATAGGAATAGGAGGAGAGGAGGAGGAGGAGGAGGAGGAGGAGGAGGAGGAGGAGGAGGAGGAGGAGGAGGAGAGGGAGGAGGAGGAGGAAGAGTAGGAGGATGGGCGGAGGAGGGGGTAAAGAGAAGGACAAGGATGCGCCGCGGGAGGAGCGTCCCCCCACAGCCTGGCATTTGGAAATTGGTGATGATGACGGTGATGGTGGTGATGATGATGATGATGCTGCTGATGATGATGACGATGATGATGATGATGATGATGATGATGCTGATGATGACGATGGTGGCGATGGTGATGGTGATGCTGACAGTGACCGTGACGGTGAATGTTTCCTTCTATTTTTTTTAAGAAGTGGATGCTCTTGTTGATGTTGGCGATGATGACTATGGTGTTGTTGGGATGATGATTCCTGCTCCTATTATGTTGACGACGATGGTGATGGTGATGGTGTTTCTGATAATCCGACGGATGGACACGATAATATAGAGAGTGGTGATGTTGAGGATGATGATCGACATAATTATGATGATGGTTGTGGTGATGATGGTCATGATGATCATGATCATGCTGAGGATCATGATACTATCTGTGACGATGGTGATGATGACGCTGATGATGATGCTGGTAAGAGTGATGGAGACGATGATGGTTATGATCATGCTATTATCCACGCTTCGGGTATCCCCATCAGCCTAGCCAGAAACGATGCCCAAGAGAGGTGATGGAACATGGGAGAAAGAGACACATACGTCATACAGTGGGACGAAGCGGGGAAAGGGGGTGACCTCGGGGGGCCGCTTCGGGCCTTCCTTGGGGCCCGCGTGGGGGCGAGGGAAGGAGGAGAAGGATGATGAGGAGGAGGAGGAGGAAGACGACAACGACAAACAAGACGACGGGGAATCGGAGGAACAGGAAATCGAAAACGATGAGGGCAAGGACGAGGGTGAGGAGGAGGAGGAGGAAAACGAAGACGACGACGTGGATGTCTGTTGCATTTTATTGGTTTCGGTTGGGTCGGCTGCCGTGTCGTCGCCGCGTCGTCGCACCCTTCAAGGTTGCTGGCGGCAGTGGGGGGACCACTGCGTTCGCGCCCGGTTCGCAATACTTGATCGGCCCCAAAGCAACCCCTTCTGGTTCATGTTTTGGTTGCCTGAGGAGGAGGAGGACGAGGAGGAGGAGGACGACGATACTGTCGGCTTGCGCAGCCTATAGAATGGATTGTTAGTCTAACACCAAAAAAGTACTGTACAACGACTCGCTGGTGTAGTCAACGTCATCGTAAAACGACCACGTGTCTAACCACCCGAAAGAGGGCAACGCCGACAACTTCGCAGTGTAATCTATGAAAAAGGCTACAGGCAGGCCGCTGGACACCTTGCCAGCTACGACAAGGTGGGGCGCGTCACCAACCTCCATGTCGTCAACGAGGCAAACCGCCTACATTCAGACATCGGTATGCGAGCCAGGAGATTGTGATACTTACCACGTCTGCTACTTCATGGTTCTACCGCCCTTTTACGGCTACTGGACGACGATGCGCGGCGCACGACGACTTGGATTGCGAAGACCAGACAGGTTTTCGAGTGGCTCTACGATCGCCTCAGCCAGGATGACCAACTTACAACCATATTGGGCGCACATGAAAGCGTACGCGCTGCCCGCGAAGAGCCAGTACGATTTCGATGCTACAGTGAAAAAAAAGGCCGCAAGCCGGCACCTACGACGGGAACGGGATCGTGCGCACCACGAGCGGTGGTAAAGCAGGTTCAAGTTGCACCAAAACGCTGACAGCATGCCCCCGATGCCGAAAATGCCACCACCATCAACCAAACCCAATATGTACTGTCAGTACGGGGCCACCATCGTCAAGAAGAACGCATACTGCGCGCAACCCGGCAAGCACCACAAAAACGGGACCCACCCAACAAGGTGAGCACAAGGGAAGAGACTCTTGACATGCAGTGGGCAGCGCCATACCTACGCGTAACTTGTGAAACACCTCCAGGCAACTCCGCCATGCGCGACACTAGGCCGCCCTTCATTTAAACACCGCACTGACGGAGAAGAACAGGAAACAGCGTGCCGACATCAAGTCGGGAAGGCGATCCGAGCACGCCCACGCACCCAGCTACAAGGCCAGCATCGACTCCACGTTCGCCAGGGATAAGGAGGCCACGTACGACATAATATCGCTAGTCGAACTACTGGAGGCCGGCCCCTCTTCCAAGAACCCCACCATCCCACGACCGCACGGAGAGCCGGTTCCTTGCGCCCTACACCTCGACAGTGGGCAACGACGAGACGGATGCCTACAAGAGTGGATAGGACAGAACATGTTCAACCACCAGAGAGCACGTCGACGCGCGTACTCTCCATCGATCTCGCCAGCCACGTCACCAAATACGACTTCGCGAATTGGGACGCCGTGTCCTTCTGGATCCAGCGAATTCACGATGGAAGAGCTGGGGCGCTACTAGCTGGCCCACCTTGTGAGACATGGACCGGAGCGGGGACACGGGACCTACCATATGCTCCCAGACAACGACCGTTACGTTATGGGGAATCACTAGGGACGTCCACCTACGCGACCAGAAATGGCAGGAACCACAGATCGATGTGGGAAGCTTTTGCTGACGACAGCCACGCTGATCCTCTGCGCAGCGCACGCAACACGGAGCGCCCCGAGACGGTCGCGAGCAGTAAGTTATTGCCAGCGCTACCTCATCTCCTACAAAGACCTGCCGTACGGCTCGCGTCTGTAGGCCACTGCATGATGGGGCAGATTTCGCGGAAAACAACGGGCCGATTCGCGATTGGAGTGCGAGGCCTCGCTGCGCAAATTTTCACAAGGCCCAACAGATGCAGACGCAACCGCAGGCACGCCGCCCACCCGCCACAACTGGCGCGCCGCGAAGGCGGGACATGGCGGAGCGCAGCCGCCAAGACATACTCGAGCCACATGAACCAGACACTGGCAGCGGCAATCAGCGAAGCAAGTCGGGCCCGGTGGAACGTGGATGAGCATGCCATCCAGTGGGGAACCGACGAGCAGCACATGCAGTTCCACGCCTCACTGGAACGATTTGCGATTTTCAGAGGGGCACCGATTGCCTGGCCCATCGGCTTCTGCTAACTCGTTGCACCGTGGGGGCTGCTGGCGCGGGGCCATTGCATTCCGGCGCGGCCCGCCACCGCTCGGGGCACGTCCTCTGCAAAGCGTCATGGGTTCTCGTGCGCTCGGCCCAGGGGATGTCCGCCTGCGCGACGGACCATGGCGCCAACTGGGAATCGCGCGGGGAACCGAGGGACGCGCGCGGCAGGATGGGAGGGACCACCTGGCGCGGCCGGCCATCACCTTGGGCGTGTCCTGTGATAGGCGATGCCTCATGCGACAAATTCGGCAACGTAAATCAGAGGTTCTCGCGCGCCTGGCCCGGGGTGCGGCCC